ACACTAACTTCCGAGTGTGCAATGCAAAATTAAATTGAGATACCCAGAAACCTGTTGCATGTGCCCTGAAGTCGCTGACGCAAATTTTGAGGAATGTATTTCGAAGAGTATTTGGAGGAGACCAAATACATTTGGTTGTATTTGTATCTTGTACTTAAATGCTTTTTTGGAATTGTAATTAGATTTGTAATTAAATACATTTTTGACGAAGTATTTTGTACTTGTATTTTGATACATATTTGCATGTATTTTGCCCATCCCTGTGTTGACGCCTACAGCGTACTCATTGTACCATAGATCAATTAAGGAAGAAGATAACAAAGCTCACGCGCGACCCGGGAAAGTAAAAACGCCAGTTGCCGGCGCTTTGCGTCCGGGTGCAGAGGGTCACGTGGTGTGCCGCTGGCGCGGTTTTGGTCGCCGGTGCCAGCGGCAAGGGCTCACCGGCGATTGACCACCCGAATTTGCCATTTGATTCATATTAAAAAAAGCTTCACAGAGATCGGTGTGAATTATTGAAGGAGCACCAGCTCCAAACGTCAAAAAATTAGTACTAAACTTCTCCGCAAATGACTAGGGCGAATAGGTGTGATCTTCAATTGTGAGACGTTTGGAATGACTTCGGAAACTGACGATTATAGCCTTTAGCTATACTTAGGGTTCCGTCTTTTCTGCTAAGTCCGAAAAACTTCGAAATACACCCGCCGAGAAAAGTTTGGTGAATTCGGATTTTTCCGATAAACACCGAATGTTTATGAGCCAATGGCACCCCCCCCCCCCCCCCCCCACCCCCAGAAAAAAAAAGTAAAAGACGTTTTTTTCTGTTTTTTTTTTGTTTTTTTTTACAATTCGGTGAGCACAGAGTCAATGGTCCCAAGGAAATGTCACCATACCCAGGCAGCACACCAATGTCGGTCCGACATTGGCCTAACATTGGCAAAGACCGGCCTCAATATTGGACAATATTGGAAGCGCTACCCTTTCCAATGTTGGCCCAGTGATCGGTGCCAATGTTGGGCCAATGTCCAGCCATCGTTCCAACCGATGTCGGCCCCATCATTGGTGCCAATGTTGGGTCATCGCTAAACCATGGTTCCAGCCAAGGTTCTCCCACATTGGCGAAGACCGGCGTAATATTGGACAACACTGGAAGCGCGACCCGATCCAATGTTGGCCGTCATGCTGATTTTTGGCCATCGTTGCACTCGCCCAGCTCTTTGCAAGTGCTCTCGCCAAGTTGTTTGCAAAAAGGAAGGTAAACAGACACAAGGGATTGTTTTGAAATCTCCTAACACTTTATTACACACAGCTTATTCTGTAGACAAGCACAATCTCAGCAATTCGCAATATGTGAAGAGCTACTACTCAGCTGTGATACAATTAAAAAGACTGCAAAGTAAGCAACAACCGGGGTAATTCTTGGGTAGTGTCCAGTCTCCCGGCAGCTGACAGAATTGTTTCGCCAAAATTCTACCACTAGTCGCCCCTCATTGGCGGTGCAATCAGTTCATCGAACTACATTTCATAGACAGATCGTTTCATCAACACGCGATGTTTCATAAAAAAACTAAAAATATGTTTTCTTTTCTTCTTTTTTTGTTGCAATGAACCGCTTCAGATTAGCATGAAGCGGCGTGAAAGGGTGGGCTGGTTCGGTGAGCACGCGCCTCAGGAATACACGCGCGACGAAATGCCCCTACAGCGCGCAATTCGCGTAACGAATGTCGATGAAACGTAAATGTCGACCAGAAAGGTGGCAACGATACGTGTTCTTGCGAAACGCAGGTAGAATAAAAAAAGTCAGTATTCTACCTGCGGTTGTGACATTATTTCAGACAGATAATGGCAGGCGACTGTCGGTAAGATTGCGGGAAAATTATTCTCCCAGCTGCCAGGAGATAGGCAATGCCCAATTCTAGAGGTTATCCGGAAGATTTCCCATACAAGAACGGACAATGATCATCAAGTAGGTTGCAGCACACTTACGTTGAAAATACTGGACTTGAAAGATGTAATCCGACTTATATGTCAACACGGGCACTGCAGAACAACCACTCAAACACAAAAACTACAAGGAAGTGGTCCGTGAAGATTCAACACAATGTAGCACATGCTGCCATTTGCCGAACCGGACACTAAACTGTTCACAAGAATGTCTTGGGCCTCTTTGAAGAAATCGACACGGGTAGGACTTTTCGAACGAGACACCATTTACCACAGAAGCGAAATCCACAGCAGGCCTGCACCCCGCAGGCCGCATCACGCGCGAAACTATTGGCCCCGAGCGGGACCGATTGGAGCGCTGCGATCGCTCGACCGTGACGTAGGATAGGGGATCACGTGATAAGGACGGTTATTCTGCCTTGCTTTGGTCGGGGTATTCGGGAACCGTTCGGTCGTTATTTTCGTGTTTTTGTTTTTTTTTTGTGTTTGGAGCCCGATTAGTTCACGCGTGGATCGGCTTCGGCAGCCGTCGTGCTCAGGAAGCAATGGTGAAGTACTGTTCGGTGCCGCAATGCCGCAGTTACGCGACCGACCCGAACGTCAGCTTTCACATCTACCCCAAGGAGAAGCAGCTGCGCACGGAGTGGCTTGTGAAGTTGAGAATGGGCAAATTAAACTCCAAGAGCTCGACAGTGTGCAGCAAGCACTTTAGAGATGAAGACTTCGTGTATGCGGTTGGAGCGAAGATGTTTGGTAAGTGTTCTCCAGTTATTTCAGTGAACCTCCACAAAAAGGGGGGGGATTTTGTTGGTACCCGTCGGAGATCGACGCTCTTGCATTTTGCACGTAAGCTGCAAACACGAAACGTTTTCGCAGAGAGTGATATCACGCATGCGTGTATCTAAGTGCTTAACACTCGTTAGTTTTCCTGGGCCACGACGCCCGAAAGTCACGCGAGCGAACTGAGCAAAGCTGGCGATCAGACGGCCGAGATCGACGCATGCTCACGCTCCGTCGTTATTGATTTTCTTCCTTTTTTTCTCGTCAGGCTGGAAAAAAGGACACTCGCCCCAGGAACCGTGCCGTCCCAGAATCTGCCTTTACGGCCACTGGACAAGCCCCCGAAGCTGCGACAGCCCCTGAAGCCGCGGGCAGGTGTGGACACATGCAAGCCTCGCCGTGAGTGCTCTCGTTTGTAGGGAACATTCGTGGTATCAGTGGATGCTGTGTGATAAATAACCAGATTTTAAATATTTGGCTCCTGCATACCTGTTTACTTTTTTTTTTTTTTTTTTTGCAGTCATCAGAAGATAAAACATGGTCGTGTCTATTTCAGTTCCAGTGCTGAGCTGTAATTTTAGGTTTTTCTGGTTTTTTTTTTTTCCACTTGGATTTAACAGCCAAGGATGACCTGCCAGCAGCAGTTACATTGGCAGGGCTGAACTCCGAAGAAGCCAGCACCAGTGAGGGTTTGATTGAGCAGGAACTACCCAACCAGGATGCCGATGCTGCAGATCCCATTGGTGAGGAGAAAGCAAACATTGCATGCCCAGTGTGAGTCATGTCAGCCTAATTCTAGTTGATACCAGAGTTGTTTTTTAATGTTTCAGGTCTTCAGGCTGAACTTCACACCTTGAAGAAAGATGTCGGAAGTCAAGCGGACACACTACAGCTTGAGAAAGATCAAGTGCTCGGGATAGCACGGGTTAAGAATGAACCGGCCCTCGTATCACTGACCTGCATACCCTGTTTTCAGCTATTCTATAACATCTGCGACCTGTATGGGGAATCTCGCTTATTAAGCCAGAGGAAGGATTTCAGCATCAGTAACGAGGACGCAGTACTGCTAACAATGATGAAGCTGTACCACAATCTGACGTTTTCCCTTCTTGGGGTACTGTTTGGGGTCCATAGGACGACAGCTTCCAACATATTTAGAGCGTCGGTACCGGTCCTAGCAGCAGTGCTCAGGCACGCCGTTTTCTGGCCTAAAAAGGAGGCTGTGCTCCAGTCCCTGACCAAGTACTTTAACAAGTACAGGGACTGTCACATGGTGCACGACTGTACAGAGATTCCTCTGCAAAAGCCGAAAAACCTGGAGTCTCAACTACTTACCTACAGTCACTACAAGGGAACCCACACTTCAAAGGTGCTTGTGTGCGAGACGCCAGGTGGCTTAATTAGCTATGTGAGTCCGGCATACTGTGGCAGATCCTCCGACACGCATATCACAAAGGAGAGTGGGCTTCTAGAGAAATGCCTGCCCTTCATCGACAGCGTAATGGTCGACAAAGGGTTCTTAATTGACGAGCTGTGTTGCGAACACAAGGTAAAGTTGGTTCGTCCACCATTTCTCCGTAAAAACACACAGCTGAGCAAATCTGACGCCGCAAACAACCAAAGCATCGCAGCCGCACGCGTCCATGTCGAGCGTGCAATTCACCGAATGAAGTTGTTTCGAATTCTTCGGGACAATTTCAGCGCAGACCTCCTTCCGCAAATCGATGCTGTTGTCGTCATCATTGCAGGTCTCGTGAACCTCTCAAAGCCCTTGTTCAGCGACGACAAATTTTTAACTGGTTAATACATTGCTGAACAGGACACGATAGCGTTTTCTTTTAGCTGCCTGTTTAAACGTTGACGTTAATCTGTAGATCACTTAATGGGCAGTTCAAACATGGCATCCCACTGTCATTTGTGAAGAATGAGTTCTCTTTAGCAGGGTAGTAAGAAAAAAGTATTGTTCGGCCACAGACTGTCACTAGCCAAGAGTTTCCTTGTTAACTTCGTTCAAGGTACTCTTCCCCTGTGCCACATTGGAGAAAGGTTGTCAAAGCACAAAAATGAGTCAATATTTCTAGCTCGTGCATTTAGACACACAAGCCATTCAACAGCCTTGTAAGATATGTTTCTATGCCAATTTAATTTTGCAAATTTGATGTCATGCATACTGTAATAAATGAATGTATTAGCACGTGCTTGTTGCCATCCTTTTGTTTATTTGCTGGCTTCAAATGCATATCTAATGTGACCACACTGGCCCTTTTTGGGGCCCACTACCACGAGTATGAACATGCCAGGTTCTTCAGCGTGTCAAAAATGTACTTGTCGTAGAGGGTGTGCACTGCAGCCGAACATTTAAGGAAATGTGCAGCATCAAATGGCACGGTAAGTGCCCTCCAGTCCTCTGGACTCTTGTAGACGAAAAAGTCACACACTGGAATATTCGTTATCCCCATCTGGACCTGAACCTGTGTGTAGAATAGGGGCGTCGGCTTGTCCTTTGAGAAAGCTTTCTTCACCGTGTTGAGGCACTTGATTTCTAAAATACGCTTCTCACCCTTGCAGCAGGCGCAGGTGAAAGTAACGAGCCCATCCACGCTACAGCCCATCACAGGAAACTCGTTCCAAATCAATAGGCCCCTGTCTTCCACAGTGCATGCGTGGCCCCTCGACTTCACAACCGAGACATACTTGTCCCGCGCAGTGCCTTCCATGCTCAGCCCGCGCTGCACTGCTGCAGACTGGTATGTGCTCGTGCGGAGGACCGCCTTCAGCAAAAGCCCCATGTTGTGCGGCATTTGCTCTATCTCGCACTTCGCTGCCCTTGTTTTGAAGGAATGGCAGACTGTACTGGTTGCCATGCCTATCCTCTGGCGCAACCAGTCCTCAGATAGCGACTGTTCCCTCGTCCTCTCCTCGATTACCGCACAGACGTCTGCAGAGAAGGTGGCCCTTATCTCCTCCACAAAAGCATCGAAGCTGGGAGCAGCAGTTGTGGCAATCAGCCGCGTAAGTGTGGGCAGTCCGGGGACAGGGGGCTCCTCAGCTGCGGTGGGGGCGGTTGATATCTCTGCAAACATGCAAATAAACAGGGAATATTGACACATTACACACTATAAAGGTGATAGGAAAGAAATTGGTTGTTGGAATGCAAAAATGAAATGCTAGGGAACAGTTCTATGTACAAAACACAAGAGGACTAATTATGACCAGTCTCATCGCTGCCATAGTGAATACGTTGAATAAGCCTGGTACTAATATGCGAGCATACGAGGGCCATTAAAAAAGTATCAGACCTAAATTTGTTCTGCATAAACAAATGAAGTGCAGACAGCATCTTCTGGTTAGAGAAGTGGAGGGAACATTAATGTGTATGTGTGAATTTTATCAGGCCCGATGAAAATGTGAGTTGTTTTCAGTCAGCCTCAGAGTGAGGAATTGTAGTCGCTGCTCGTCGTTTTTTTCCGTAACTCGAATAAGGTTCCTTTCAGCGGCATTTTCATCGTAGGGAAGAGCCAGAAATCACATGGAGCCATGTTGAGACAGTAGGAAGCCTGTTTTGACCAAAAAAACTCAGACGCAAGGAATGAGCTGGTGCACTGTCATGATGCAGCCCCATCGTGAGAAACTTCGGCACGATTGCACGAAGTTAGTTAATCACCAGATTATTTCGGCTTGTTGAAGGCCTCTCCCCACTGACATGCAGTCATCTTTGATCTGGTTGTACCAAACCTTAATGTTTTTTTAATGCCCATGGCATCGTCCTCGAACTCCTGCTGAATATCTCGAATTGTTTCCACTTGAGTGTGAGCAAGCTTGAATCAAAATTTGATGCAATACCTCTCACTCAAACTACTTTATCAGGTTGCAAAAAAAAAAAAAAAAAAAAAACGACGAGCACTAACTACACGTCATCACTCCGAGGCTAGCTGCCTGCGACTCACATTTTTTGCGGGCCTGATAAAATTCTTGCATGCGCATTAACGTTCCCTCTGCCTCCCGACCAGATAAAGCTATTCGCGCTTCATTTGTTTCCACGGTACTAATTCAGGTAGGATACTTCTTAAACAGACCTTGTACACCAATTAAGCATGTAGTGGCATACTTAATTGGTGATGGTGCTCCAGGCGCACTTTCAGTTTAGAGTTGTGGGCCAGGAAAGTCACCTGCACCTGGCAATCTGGTTTTTTGTAGAAATCTGCCTATGGCAGGATGACAGTGCACATTGCTCAACTAGACTTAAGCCTCAGCCACTTTAAACATATTGTACTAAGGAACATTTCTGGTTGCTTTTCTGGTTCGCTTGACATTTTTTTCTCTCCTTTGCAGTCAACTGTTACGACATATTGGATATTAGTGCTTCCACTCAAATCTAATATATATATGGCGCAATCGCCATGCCTTCACAACCTAGTACCTGTACTTTTTATTATCAGCTCTGTAACTTTTGTGAGTCAGGCATGCACAATTCAGAATGTAAACATATTAAGGTTGGAGTCCCCATCCGTTGAGCGTACTGCTCACAGCTGTGTCAATTTATCACAGCCACCGATCTAAGTGGTGTACATTTATCTAGGGTTTCAATGTACACAAAAATTCTACACAGATAAATATACACAGGAGTGTACATTTATCTTGGGTTTTGTTTTGCTGTGATCCAAACATGCTGCATGGTCTGTACTGAGCATAGCTTCTATCCCGTGTGAGGCATGCCACCACTGATGTTCGTCGGATACTGAGAGAATCGATTCATAAAGTCTCTCAAGAATGACCAACAAACAGCCAAAACCAACTGTAGCAAAGACAATGGGAAAGAGAAAGAGGAAATGCAGTTCATGAACCAACCAAGAGGACGGATTTCTTCTGTGTGCCGCAGGGCAGCTGACCTATAAGTCAGTCCCTCCAGTAGTCGTCCCAGGATATCGCCTTTAGGAAGCAGCACCGGATCCCCTTCAACCTGAAAATATGAAGCAAAATTTCGCCAAAATTAAGCAAACGTAAAACAAGGGATTGCAAGCGTCCCGGCTAGTGCCTCTTTCATGCAACCATGTTCGCATGCATGTAAGGGCAACATTGGCAGGCTTGCAGTTGCGCGTGCTTCGTTGTTCAAGCGGAGACAATGGCTGTTCGGTCGAAACCGAAATCATGTCACTCCGCTCTGTCGCCCACTGGATCCCAAAATTGTATGCAAAATGCAACTGCCTAGCATACGACAAAAAAAAAAAAAAAAAAAAACAGTCCAGCGGTGTGCGCTTGCCAGGCCGGCAGGCGAGGTACAAGCTAAACACCCAGAAAAAAAGAACCTGAGTTCATCGATGTATGGCATCGCGAGCCAGGGTCAAAAAGTTTTTGGAGCGCTTTGTCCAACGACTGAACTCGTGGCAAACAAGCACACTCTGCGGGTTCAGCTTGCAGACATTGCCTCCTTTGCTCACTTCTCGTCACTAACTCTCTTTCGCGGCAGATTTTTTACGTATCGGGGTCCCTCTCGAAAAAGAAAGCCCACCGAGAGAAACCTATGTAATCACTACTTCGACAAGCAGTTTTTGAAAAGGGGGATTTTGGTAGTGCCATATGATTTAAACGAGAGCACGAATGTTGATGAACACGCAGCAGTAACTACGTTTCAGTTTAGAAAGCGCCATATTTGTAGCGACGTGGGGACGGCAACCCGTTACATTGCACGACCACGGTGACTGTGGTTGTGCTAGTGCTTCAGTGCTGTGGAACAAAACCAAAAATTGGTTTTGTTCCACAGCATGACGGCATGGCCGGCACACTAACGTCAGAGCATCCGCTCACGCCCGTGTGTATCGTTGAAAAAAATTGAAAAAGGCGCGAGACGAGACCACCGGACAAGAGCCCCGAGATGACATGAGAGCGCAAAACCTGAGACGGCGGGAAAAGCCATGCAAGGGGTGGGGGTGATCGGACGAATGATTGATGCGGGGTACTTAGTGTTGGGCGGTTTCTTGCGCCACCTAAGTCACGCATGCTCGATTACGGTTCTCAGTTTAGTTTCGTTTTTGAAAGGCGACCGAAACTGGTGCTTTGGCACAGGCTTGGTGCAGACTACCCATATTTTGGCAAATGTAGCAGGACGTAGCAGGGTTAGCCCCTTGGCACAGTTTCGCACAACTGGCCCAGCATACACATCACTGTCTTCATTTGATTTGTTAACTCAGGCTGACGCAACATATGCACTACATCGTTAGTGAGAATCCCACAAGGTCACGTAAGGCACACAAGAAAATAAAGGAGCATCCTGTGTGCTCTCGGCGTACCTATGCCGTGACACACTGTTGGTCAAGTTCCGTTAGCACAGGTCAGGGCAGAAGAAGCGTTTATATGCGGGTCTTGTACAGCCCTTTCCCGTGCGGATGGAGCTTTATGGTATGCACAAGGTCTACTAAAAGCGCTGTGCATGAATAGAAGTTTCATAGCTCACTTTTTCAAGACCTGGAAGGTTGACGATCTTCCTCGGAGCATACTTCTCCCCGACCGCTCTCTTCTGCCCCTTCCCCCACTTTTGTGGCGAGTCTGTGGACGCCAGTACGTTGAAGTTCCTCTTGGCGTTGATATGTAGCAACATTGCCACAACGTGCTTACACTTGTAGTTCCTGCAAAATGGCAATGTTCTTAGCTTGCAATTAAACAGCATATCCAATATCAGTCATAAAATGTGAACAGTCTCACCCTCTAGCAGTACCTTTTTCATGCAACTTCAATATTATTTGAATGAGAATAAAAGTGCATGTACATGTTGGCAGTATGCAATGCCAGTAGAGCTGAGTGTTAATAGACTTGAAAGAGTAATCTACAGAGAATAGCAAGACATAAAATTTCACCGACTATTTTAACGTGAAAATCACTCGCAGCTTAGTGGTATCTAAACAACCAGCAGCTGCATAAATGTGCGAATGTTATGTGGCTCCATTGATTTTAGTTTAAAGGTTGCTGATACGAGGGCAGCTGCACTCGTATTTGCATGTAATATTTTTCTTTTTGTAGCGCATCTGGTTACTATGTAGGGGCCGAAAGAAAACTATTCTACAACTCTAATGGACCTAGCTACAGGAATATTTGCATAATCTTTTTTGACAGAAGAAAGAAAAACAGCAATGCTGTACACAAACTGCCATTGGCCTTTGGATGATCGGATATTAGTTTATGAATTAAATGTTATCCACAAGGTTTAATACTCGTAGCTCAAAAATTCCGACATTGCAGAAAAGATAAAAGACGGGTACTCAAACAAAAAAAAAAAAAAAAAAAAAAAACGGACGCGCGGAGTCGAACTTGCGACAAGCGCCTCACGAAGCGCGCACCTTACCACTGCGCCACGGGAACAACGGGTGAAGCCTGATCGTATTTCGTAAACAAGGCGCAGCACTTCGCCGGTTATCGCAAATTGTTCGGTTCCCGGCTCGAGCCGCGAGCTCCTCGATCGACTTCACAACACGCCGGCCGATAAGTACATACAACTCAACCGAGTAATGATACACGGCATGTTCCTTTACCCTGCTTTGCAGGAGCACGATGTGTCACCGACGTCTCTTCCATTCAGTGCTATCTCCAGCTCGTGCGGGTCCGAAGTCAGTGCCGACGTCTGGAAAACGAATCCAATGAATGTGTAGCAGTCCTTATCCACCTTCTTGATACTGCAGAAGACATGTCCCGCTTCAAGAACTCGTTCGCCCTCGAGCAACAGCCGGGATGTTTCGTGGGCCTTGTCCACGAACGCGTTGATGCTGCTTACAGGCAGCACAACTGAAAAGGGGTACACAGTTTTAACGGGCTGCCCGGTCAAATAGAAGCTAAAAAAAAGGTTCGCTTACCTTCAACGGTAGGTCGCACATGGTCCGCATCCATCTCGGTGCCCGATACAGCCGCCGAAAACGACAAATTATTTGGCCCGTACCGTCTAGTCTAGTCGACGCCGCCGCGCTTCCCTGCAGCGACCGGTTCCCTGCTAGCCTGCAACAGGCTCACCGGCTCCCCGGAAGCAGTTGTACGTTAGCCGACTTAGGAGCTTGACCGGATCGAGTACAAAAACGAAAAAATGGGTTAAAATAAACCTTAAACACTCGTACTAATAGAAAAAAGCGAAGACCAAGACACTGCACCCTACACACTGAGCGCAAAAAACCGTCACGTGATCCCCTATCCTACGTCACGACAATAGGCCCGTTAGGTGGCGCCACGTCATGTTCTTGGGGCTAATAGCTTTAGGTCTACCCACTAATCGTTCCAGCCAGAACTGGGCGTTCTGACATCCCTACACGCTATCGTCTCCTCCTCCTCTCCCTCACTTTCTCGGCGCATACACTCGACTGCTCTACTTCCCTTCGTCATTTATCCGAACGCAGCTCAAAGGCACGAACATGCCCATATATTAAAAACGCAAATTCTGCGCTTCTTCAGATGTCCGTAAGTATTTTCGTGAGAGTTCACGGGGGTTTCGGATCATGAGTATTATCATTGTCGCGCCGGGGTCATTCAGATTGAGGCATTATGCGATTATAACGCAGAGGATCAAATCGCGAGGCAAAACGGGGATAGGGCAACGAACTCCAACCTGTGTTGTCTAAGCTGTCGAAGGCCATACACTAATAAAAAAAAAAGGTGCGCGTGTATACTTTCCCACCAAACATCTAAACAACCAATCGCGGCACACGATACCAGGATCTCAGCGATTGACATGGCTCAAAATTCATTCACTCCGAGTTTCAAGTTTTATTCATTTCCATCGTAGATGAGGTGGGGGGGGGGGGGGTGCATTGGAGGTCTAGGAGTTTGACGAGGTCTCTAAATCATCTTTCATTTCAGCGTTGGAACAGGACATCGTCGAAATTAAATTGCTACATTAAATTAAATTGAATTACCATATCTATATTGTGCAATGATGATGCCGCAGTGGGTTCTTATTTTTTTTATGTTTTCCAGGTATTTTGGGGGGGGGGGTTCGATATGAGCTAAGATTCTTAGGGTTTACGTTCAGGTCCTCCCTGTGTCTCGAGTCATTTAACGTAAAAACATTTTATTAGTATATTATATAGTGTATTTTTCCAAGTGTCGGCCTGTACATTAGCCTCGTGGGTTTCCATGAAAGTTATCAAATACGCAAAGTAGCATTTTCTGGGCGACTATTATTCTGTTGTAGTTCATCTAGCACGTAGGAAGGTAGATGTAAGCTATTTTGACTGTTCTAAAACGTTTGATCGTATAAATTACAGTCAATTGTCAACAAAGTTATCAAACCCTGATATTGATTTTGGCTTTTGTAAATTGTTTGAAAGCTACCTCAGGGATCGCCCGAACACAGTATCTTATATTGGGCACCAGGTCTTCTCCTTACGTCCAAAAATCTGGAGTGGTGCGATGGTCTAACCTTGAACCGCTACTTTTTAATATGCTTATAAATGACCTTGCAACTAGTGTAGGCAATGCAAGGTGCTTCAATTTGATGACGATGTTAAAATTTATCGTAGCATTAGCACTACCGCAGATTGTGAGCTATTGTAGCTTGACATTGACGCCACTCATCTTTAGTATAATGCAAATATGTTATTTTTAAATCCCGTAAAAATTAAAGTTGCTTCTTTTTCCTGTAAGACTAATTGCTTATTCTAATGAATTATATGGCTCTGACAAATCAAGGTCTTCAGTTGTGAGTGTCTTCAGTTGTGAGAATCAAAACCCACCCTTTGAAATCTGTGCTACTATGGCTTGTTTGAGTCGTGTACGATTGTCATATCTGACGTAAACTTTATTATAATTATGTGAGCCTTTAGAAACTTCGTCTCTCGCCTCTTTTTGTAAGAAGATTAATGTGTGATTTAGTGTTTAAATACAAAGTATTGAACACTCTTATTGACTGCCCTTTGTTGCTTAGTAAGACTTTGTTTCATGTACCCTGGCGACAAAATAGGTACAAGATACTTTTACCCAGGCTCTTCACACTTTGAGACTTGCTTGATTTCTATGAAATTTCTCTATTATAAGTCAAATAACGCTTATATCGATTTTTATGACCTTTAAAGCAAATTAAGAGGGAAAAGTGTGCGATCAATGATTGCTCGATAGCTTGTGACCAGGTTTGTTTATTTTCTATATATTATTTAGACTATCTGTACGTATAACCCTATTGAAGGCTTTGAGCTGTTTGGGAGCAGCATAAAGAAATCTAAATCTTGGTTCATGTACCCCACACTAATGCGACATATGAAATTCTTGAAGATCATAAAGAGAAACAGAATATATTTTACCATAAGTAGGTTATGAATTATATATATATACATCCCACTGCTTTTGAGAATTCAGAGCAGAGTTTCTGTAAATGCGTTAAATGAATAAGCTCATCGTTAAACCATATGCTTAAAAACTTTTGCTCCTTAACCAGTTCCAAAGACACTCCATCAATGTTTATGCGTATGGAATATTTGTCTCGCTTGTAATTGAACCAAAGCTCGTGCATTGAGTTTTTTTTTTCCCCTTAATCTGTAAATTTTTGCACTTTAAAAAGAGCTAGATAGTCTGACCCGGTATCTATTTGCCATTGTGTCTAATGTGCCTTTGGATTATGGCTTAGAGAATGGGTTAGCATCGTCTGCGTATATGATTCATTCTGGGGAGTCCCGTATGGTTCTCATATCAGCAACATAAACTAAATATAATACATCATATCGACGAACGTTTCTTTTTGTGAAAACGACCATTTATAGGGAGGTGCGGCTTACACAACGGTAAGCCTTATAGACCAAAGAAAATATGGTAGATTAATTAAAAGGCGCTTTATGGCCATTCAAGAAAGCTGCCGTGCGACCGAAGCGTTAGAGGGGAAAACAATTCAGCAGATAAATTTAAGACTGCTTACGTGTATGAATTCGAAAGCATTCCTACACGCAGTGCATTCTTACAAGCAGCGCGCCACGTCTTCCTTTTTCACACGACGCTCCGGCGTTGACATCACGCTCTCCCACTGCGCAGGAACGGCGAACCTTACCGGCTTCACGACGGCTTCCGTGTCGAAGCATCTGGGTTGCTGTGCTTTTCTTTGTGCTTTATTTCTGAGGCACGTGCTTGATGACGTATTGGTGTGACCATCTTTCGCGCACATGCCGCCGCTTATTTTGCGTCATGGGACAAGCAATTGGCATTCGCCTTACAAGAGCTTAGGAATGACCCTCGGATTACTCCGTGTCGTATTTCTCGCATATCAGAGGCTACGTTATTTATGTGCACATAGTGATACCGATCCTTTAGGTGACTTTCAAAAAGCTTTAATGCAACGCCGCGTACCCCGTTCAATTAACTGTTAATCAATAGAACATCAATCTGTAACGTATTCAAGGCCTTCGTAATGTCCAGAAAAAAACGCTAGTGTACAAATTCTCGTCAATGTTCCGAATAATAATTTAATCTTTTATGGTGTGTAGTGCTTGTTCTGTAGATCTGTGTTTTTAAAAACCAAGGTGTGTCTCGTTTAACATATTACGCCTACAAAAACAAAGTTCCGCGTGCGCGGGCTAAAGGGGCCATGACGCTCCCCTTAATCATCGTCCCTGCCCGCAACGCACTTTTTTCGGATCTAATGTGTTATCAGTTTTGTAATTCGCTGTGATCCTGGTATTGTTCCCCGGGATTGGCTGTCTAGGTGTTCTGCATGCATGTAAACCTTGCAGACCTTTTCTGGAGTCCGTATGAGATATGTAACAACATGAACAGCAAAAGCGGCGAACAAGGAGAGCGCGCGACTTCCACCGATCGATCCAGGGGATGCGGAGGATCGCGGCTGCCGGGACGAGCCGGGCGCAAGGCGAGGAGGCGCCTGCGCACTGCGCCCCCCCTTCCACCTGCGCCATCTTGGAAGCCCGGCGGTGGGCGACTGTCGAGTGCGCTCCCTGATTCCCCGTGAAGATCCCCGGGCCCATGACCGCGTCATCGAGAAACGAACGAGAGACCTGAAAACGAACGGATGCTGAAGGTGAGCACGACGCCTTCTTGCTGGCTCCACTTCCTTTTGCTCCAACCAAGAACTTGTCGAAGCAGTGCTAACTCCATCGGGGCAGTTCTCAATGCGATCGTTTGATGAGAGGGTGTCGATGGAGGAAATGTCTGAAGGTTACAACCGTCTGATATTCACTCCGATTTTTTTTTCTGTTGTCTTAATGTAGTTTACGTGGCGCCACTGATTTCCCCAACCGGTGTGGAGATTTGCGATTGTTTTGTTGTCACTGTCAAACAAACCAAAACAAAAGGGAAACGCTGAACAAAATAGGAGCAAAGAGAGAGGGATGATAACAATTGAACGTTGCCATAAAATTGTTCAGCTCACGGTACGTATTTTCTCGTATGCCTTCTGCTCATCACCTGTCTTCATCGACCTGACAATATTGCAGTTAGGAGTCTACTTCTTTTTTTCTTGTTTTCTTTCTTTTAATAAAGATTGCGAACGCGTCAATCAAGTACAACATCAAAGTGCTAATAATCAAATAGAATCTCCACGAAATAATAGTCATGTGCTTCATAATTTAAAATGTCTTAGGTAAAAACGTCGTCAGACAATTACAGTGTCAGTAACATTAGCTCGTCGCCATGTTTGGTTAAAACGAGGCTTCCGCGTCTAATTTTAGACATAATTAGGAACTTAAAAAACGGGGCGTGGACGAGCTGCTACAAGTTGGTCGCGTTCGCTATAATTACTGCAAACCACGCCAAAAGTAACAAATATCGGTGCCGTTTTATTTTACTTTTTTTTATTTGCCACTTGTATTCTTAATATTGATTTTTATAACAACTTTTTAACTATAATGTACTGACTACCTTCTCTCTATCGATTCTAAATTATTTAATAGCAATCTAAGGAGACTTCATAGCTATACCTAAATAAAC